GGGCATGTGCGTGACACAAATCGTGTACTGCGCCTGCCCCTTGGAAGGGCACCAGTCACACCGTGTGGCCAAATTACGTCTGTGACGTCGCTGTGCCATTCGCGCGTTTGCGTGAACCCGTGCCACTGGGGGAGTAAAAAATGTTGGTGCAAGGTGGAAAGGAGCGGGAAGGTTGGCGGTTTCCCCGACCGAGGCTTGATTGTTGTATCTAATCTACTCTGTTGCACACGGTGTGGCCAAATTACGTTTGCGACGTCGTTGTGCCATGTGGTTTAGCGCGGCCTTGGCGGAAAGTGCGTTTGCCTGCGTCTGTGCCACTGGGTGGCAAGCACGTTGGTGTAAATTCGGCGTGTCACTGGAGAGCGGGATGATTGGCGGCGCCTGCCACGCTTGGTGTTGCATTGTTGTATCTACTCTGTGTGGCCAAACTATAATATAGACCGATAGACCCACTAATTTCCACGGTATATCAGAAGAAATCTTTCAATGGGGTTCTTCACATTCCTTGCTGTCATATACAGTGCGCCAAAATACTGGCGTGCTCCTCTGTCCACGCTCCCGGGCCATTCGTCGTCTAGTTTTACGCGGGCGTTTTTTCCTTTAGGCTTTTGGTTTTGTTTTTCTGACTCCTCTTGCTAAAGGCCGGGGTCGACGGTTTATGCGGGGGTGTTTCTTCCTCCCTCCTCTGCTTCATCTTCCTCTTCCGCCTTTTTCTCTTCAATTTCTTCTCCACTCGCTTGAATTCAATCTCATCAGACTTCATCTCTGAGCAGCTCTGGCATCAGGAGTGTTGGGCAGCATCGATCACCTCCTTCTTCGCCAGGGACACGCGAAGCATTCTGACCTAGGCTTGATTGCTGCCGTGGTGCCATCTTCTCACCGCAATTCTTTCATCACGGCTGATCTTCAGCCACTTCTCTTTTCTGATCTTCTCCTTGTCGCGCAGTAAGTCGTCCAAAGCACGATCTTGAGCCTGTTCATGGTCCTCCTCGGTGTCAAGGGCATTGAAATCAACGTGCCTCTTCTTGCGCACTTGCCCAGCTATGTCTTCCAGGTCGCGCGTGCCATCCATGTAGCCAGTGCCTTCGCGCTCTTCAATCCCGAACTCTGCTGGGGGGTTGCACGCTGGATGACCCGGGACTTCATCTCTTCCAAGGCACTCTCCAAAATGGCTTTGCGCAAAAGCTGCGGCCATTGCTGAGATTTCTTAGTCTTGTTGCCTTCAAGTTGCTCGTGTGGATGAAGTCCATCACATAGCGCACAAAGTCTTTCCTTCATTCTTGCCGAGGAGAGGAGCATACCACTGGCCTTTTGATGAGGTAGACCACCTTTTCCAACCAGACCTGACGCGCATCGATCCAGTCGTATGAGCTCCAGTGGCTCTCCAGTCATCTGATTCCGCAGCTGCTGGTTCATCATGTCGGTGAAGCACTTCAGCTGCCAAAGTAGTGACGGCCACGTCCAATTAAGCTCCAAGCGACGTTCCACAAGTTTTGCTATCCAGGCCACGACTGGATACCATTCCTTTCTGTTCATCAGTTCATCATGATCTTCTCGCGCCTCTCTTCACTTCTGGTGGCATTGAGGCGTTGCCATGGTGACCAGGGCGCGCAATGGAGAAAGCGTCAGCAAGTAGGGGTCATCATCCTCGATCTCCTGCCAAAGACGATCGCAATTTGCCTTTTGCAGAAGGTCGTAGCGATCGTCGATCTCGATGTCCACAGGCGCGCTGATGCTCAATCCCATGGTCACAGCCAGCAAACTCAAAGTAGCTGCCCCTGCAGAGATCTCCTACATGAAAGAGCGACACCCTTTGGGCAGCATCTTCTTATGCCTCTTGGTCTCACCTTGAAGCGTGCTCCACATGGTGCAATCTTCCTTCTCCGTGTCATCCAGGCTCTCGCAAACCTTTTCTCAAGGTCTTGGCTGAGCACTCATGTAGTGGAATATGAAGTTCACTTCGCTGCCCGTGACATTGTCATCTTCATCAGTCAAGTTCTCTTCAAGGACCTTCGCGCCTGTGGCGTTCACAAGGACCTTCTCCTCTTCAGACACGTAGTCTTCAGCAAAAGCCATAGCGTTGCCCTCGTTGTTCTCATCGCCAGGGTGAAGTCGCAGGGCTGGCAAGCCATTCAGGTTCACAATCTCCAGCTCCTCATCGAGAGTCTTGCTGTAGGCGGTGTAAGATCAGAACAAAGCCAAGCGACTTCTGGGCATTTGAGCTCAAGAGCAAAGGAGTGTCCGAGTTGTCCAACTCTATGGAAGTGATGTTTCCGGGGAACAGCTCATCATCTATAGGCCCATGACCTCTTCCCGGACACTTCCACCTTTCCACCAACTCCACGGAATCGTCCTTCAGCCGGCATCAACTCCGGCTGCTTGCCAGTGAAGCGCACGAACGTCTCCATCCACCGTGAACCGTGGCAGGTGTGATTGCAGCCAGTATCCAAGGTCACACAGAGCTCTTCAGCATCCTGCCTGTCGGTCATGATGTAGGCTGCACTAGCCTCCTTCTCACGCACAGCTTGGCAGTACCTGGCAAAGTCTACCAGGCATGGATCCTTCAAGTCGCCTTTCTCAAACTTGGTGAGGATTGTCTTGACATACGTCTTCTCATAGTCATAGATCTCCTGGAAGGTATGCCTCTTGAAGGCGCCGTTGGCAAAAGTCTTGCCCTGCCATTCCTTGATGTCGACTTCACGCGATTTGGGGCCACTGCCTCGCGATGGTCCACCTCCAGTCTCGTGTGCAATCGTTGAGCCTCCTCCAAACACAGCTGCCTTGCACTTCTCATAGATTCTGTCCAAAGTGGCAACTGAAAGCTCACCTCCAAGATCTTTCTGAAGCTCCACCGAAACTGAAAAAGCAGTTCCACAATCCTCTGGGCGTGAGACACCGTGCTCGGACTCAGGAGCGTTGAAGAAGAAGTCGATGAAGTTCCTCCTCCTGCGCAATTGGGTCGTTGACCCTTCTCAACATGTCCACATATCTTGCACTTCCATTGCCACGTTGCGCCGGCACTGCCACGCCAAGCCTTTTCTGCGCGCGAACAGGCGCGATTCGTCTGGCTGTCTCCAACTGGCTTCATCTCCTGGTGTACTCCACAAGGTCTTGCCACAGTCCTTGCGTTTCACAATCTTGACGCGGACGTTCGATCCATGCTTCGTTTTGTTCTTGTGTTCACACGCCGGATGCTCCGGCGCCTTGTTGGCCGAAGACGCAATAGATCTCGACGAGCTCATAGGTTGAACTGGTAGTCGTGGAAGTCCTTGCTGCGCCTTCCATAGCCATCGATCCAGTCGCTCACGGTCTTGTTCATTGAAGAACGGATGCCCCAACTCAATTCATTCCAACGCTCATCGCAGGCATCTCGCCATTCGGGATCATCAGGGTCATTGGCGGCAGTCATGAAGTAGTCCAAATGAGCTTTACGAGCATCAGCCAGCAGCTAGCTGTAGCCTCTTCCAACTGAATAAGAACTAGGTGGCTAGAATCCTCGCTCCATGGCCATGCCGGGAATCGGCAATGGGGCTTGACGCAAAGTCTTCACCTGGGCCTCTGCTATCAAGCGGTCAAGTGCCTCATCTGCCGTCTCTTCACGTCCATCTCTCATCGCGACGTTGGCCTCCAGGTCATGGCGCTGCTCCTCAGTCACGCGGCATACTCCGCTCCTTCTGGGTCATGTGATTCATCAAGGCCCTCATCAAGCATGTTCATGAAGACGGATTGGATGACCTCATCCTCGTCGTTCACATAATTGTAGTTCTCGTCAACATGATAGCCATCGAACTCCTCATCTCCTCCAAGGCTCTGGGAATGGCTTCCCAGTCTTCGCAATCGTAGTACTCATCGACAGGTTGAGTGCGGTAAGGACCAACTGCGATGCCTGTCCTTGCCATAGCCCTTGGAGTTACAGCTCTTGCCATAGTTTGAATGGCGCCCAAAGCCTCCTTTGCCTTGTCCAAGCTCTTGCTCGTGAACTCGGCTGCGCTGTGCGGCCAACTCTTCACAGATCTTCTCCATGGTCACATCGCCATGCACAGCAGCTCGAATCAGCAGCTGGCGGTCGCTGACGCCAGAGTTCTGCAATGTTTGTTCTGCTAAAATCGCTTCTGGAAGTTTGAGGCTGCTGTCCATGTCAAGCATGAGGTAACATATGATGGGACGCTCTCTCCATGCTGCCTTGAAAGAAGGCCTCCTTGCTGTGCCCCGATCTGGTATAGATCCCTAGCCTCCTGTCGTGACCTCGGCTGAAGGGAGCTTGGAGAACGCTGGTGCCATCCTCGCCGGCTCGAGCGACTTGCAACACCGGACCTCCACTAGCCTCAAAGCTAGGACTCCTCCATGGCCTTCTCACGAGCCTGCCGCAGCCGAACGCGGAATTGGTATTCCGCTAAGCGGCTGACCTCGCCGTCGTAGCCCGGCACACCAGATTTGGCTTCTGTGCTCCAAGCATCATCTTGGGCAGCAGCAAGTGTCTGCCAACGCAAGCATTCCACGATCGACATGGCGTCGTGGCGGAAGGTGAAAAAAAGTCCAAGTCCCCCAAAGGGAACAGGGTTTGCCGAACAGCCTGCGCTCTCCCAAAACAAACCCCCGGAGTCTCACTCTGCTGCCAGTATGAAAGTGGCAACCAAATGTGACGAAAACAAAAGACAGTGTCGCGCCCTTTGTTCCGCACAGCTTCCATCTTGAGCCACAAGTCGTGTGGCGAATGCTACCTCCGCTGAAGGGTGGACACAGCTATGACCAATACGCCATCGTGGCTCAATCTTCCTTTCACAAGACTGTGTGCACACGGGGGTTCGGGCAAACTAGACATACCCATGCATTGAAAAAAAATAATCCTGTGTACGGTGTGTGCTTTTCCTTCCCAATGGCAATCCAGCCCCCTCAGTATGTATTGCATGCAAAATCATGACTCATGACCAATGATATTGACAGCAGTGTAACTTATCTCCACATGACCACTTCAAATCTCTCTCACACCGGCATCTCGCCTCTTGCATCTGCTCCTGTGTGTTCTCGATTTCATCATCAAACTCATCTGGCAAGTCAACCTGTCAAATACTAGAACGTATCATGTGGTATGCCATAAAATATCGCATTCTTCTTGCTCTAACTTCTTGAGACCTCTCTCAACTGGAGGCCAGTGATCTCCAGGCTTAGCCCCAATTCAGGCTTAGCAAAGTTTGTCTGCAAGACCTTGGCAAACTAACTGCAAATCAGCGGAACAAACTTGCAGAAGCTCGGCGCAAACTACCATGCTCTATTGATGATTTGTACGATCCCCGGCTTGACTCATTCTGGCAGTGATTGCCGCTCGCTTTGTGAAGTACCTGCCATGTTACCATTGAGTACCAGCATACAGCCACAAACTTGTTTCTGCCAAATGTAAGGTCCCTGCCCTGCTTGAGCATTTTCAGATACGAATTGAAACCCTCCACTGTCAACCTAATTAAAACAATCCTTACGAGTAGAAAGGCATCCACCCCAACGCGCAGTCCGTCTTTAAACATCTTTAAACTCTAGACTCTACACCTACCTTTTCAGGGGGGCAATGAAGGAGCCAGATTCTTCATCCCTTTGCCTGCAAACTTGACAAGGGCATGTTCACTGTTGCATGTAGCATCGATTGTTGTCAAAACCAGAATCCACAATGAAAACGCGACTGGTTGGCTCATCAGCTGCGAACTCTGCGCAAGCTTCGATCACACCCGCTCGAGCGAAGCGGACAAACTCGTCCTGGCAGTGGCAGCACTTGGCATGGGAAGAACATTCATGAGGACTATGGTTGGCGACGGCTGCCATCCTGAAAACAATTGAACATTACATACACTCTCAATTAGCACTTTGGAATATGTTGGACCCAGAAGAGTTAATAGTTTCAACACAACACATTGGGTGTTTGTGAATTCATCCCCGTATATCCCCATATGAGTCGAGTGTTTCCTCAGATTTAGTTGGAGCAAACGACTTGGGATCTGCCGTCAACATGAACAACTGGTGCCATCGTGACAAAGCGCAATTTGTGTGAAACACACCATCGCGCTGCCTTGTACAAGTTCTCGCCGAGGATGTTGTACAAGTCTCGCAGTGCACTGGGCCTGTAAAGAGAGGTGTTTGAAAACAAAACCAACAAAAGCCGCATTTCAATTGACCTCAACCTCCATTGAAGGGAGACCGAAATTTGCATCTCCAACCTGGGTGTTCAACGTGACGTTGTGACAGGGGCAATGTTCAAAAGGTTCAGTATCATATCACATCATCCAAGTCACCCGTCTGCAGAGCGAGCACGAATAGGCCCCTTTACCACAGGCTGAAAGAGCTCAGCGACAGGAGCAGGATTCACTCCTTCGACATTTTCTCTCGATAATTAATTCTCAGCTGCAACTTATAGCTGGCACTCAACTGGTTAAACAGCTGCCGCCACTGTCAAAGTCGGGTCAAGAAGTCAACCAGTATGCCGTCCACACTTGCCGATGCCTCGACCATCCTGGATGAAATACATTGCCTGGAAGGTCGCTGGAAACCTTGTCAGGAAGGTTATGGATTAGCGCGTCAAGGTTTCCAGCTTGAGAGATATCAGTTTGAAAGACATTGAAGCTATTGGGTTGGAAGCCATCGCTTGTAGGTTGGAGGCCATTGCTATTAGGCTGGAGGCCATTGCTCATAGGCCCATAGGCCGTTTCTCTATCAATACACAATAGCTCTGCTCCAGGCTCAATGAGGTAGTTCCCGAATCCAACAAAGCTTATGCCAGGCTCGGTGACAACCTTCACATATGTGTCCGATGCTGTTTATATATATATATACACACGTTCAAAAGCACTCGACGCATGTCATTTACCAAGTGTTGGTATCATTATCATTGTTTCATTACTAGGGTCACAGATTTCAAAACAAGCCAAGAGGAAGGCTACCATAGTACCCCATTTGCAGGTACCCAGTTTGTATGGGCCTCACTGCTGACGGACTGGGACATCCATTCGAGAATCACGGACTGTCTGCCCTGCTCCATCGACTTGAAGGAGATAGGCCTTGTTTTTTTCACAAGTTCCCTGTTGAAACTGCAATCGTCCCAACTCACAAAGTTCCAAGTGGCACAGCAACGAAAGTGAATATCAGAAGTGCCACTGCAGTGCAAAGCCCGCATACCGGCACCACACGGATGTCTTCAATCATGCCTCACTCGGATGCAACTCTCTTACTTGTTGCTTCCGCGCATGCCGAGGTCAAGACCGGTTTTCGAATGCCCAAAGAAACAAAGCTCGAAGCTTCAGCCCAAATTGCCAGAACAAGCGGGATCATTGCAAACTTTCCCTTTGATTTTTTGCAACTTTCTTCAATCGTCCACAACAAATTGTGTATTTATGTATATACAACGAGATTGAGCCTGACCTGCCTGCCAGCCTGGCATAAATTAGGATGGATGGGAGTTGAAAATTCTGGGGAGAGGGTTGCCCGAACGCCAAGCAGATCTTGAACCTCTCAGAAACACAACTTTGGCAAGGTGCCTGCCTTCCGGCTGGAAGCATGAAGCTGTAGCTACTCCTCATTCATCCTCATTCTATTCTTCCCTGGAATTTAGGGTGATTCATTCACTTGGCTTGATCCAACTGTCATATAGAAGCTGATGCAAGGTGAGCCAAGTGCTACTCTTGAGAACCCTAGTTACTGAGCAGGGTTGTCTTGGGAATTCGAGATATTTTGAGACGCTTCTTGACTTCGACCGCGAAGGCCAAATTCTTCCGCAGCGCTCAGACCAAGACACTTTTTGGCCAGTAAAAGTCTCTACTCTAGTGGACTTCAGACCATGAGACTCTTGTGGCATCTGTCAGATTCTGTCCGTTGTGTGCCAACATGGGCTGCAGTGAGCAAGCGACTGCTTCGACCACCTTCTAGACGGACGAGCGCTCTACCTGAGAAGCACAAGGATGGAAGGATGGAAGAGCGGGCTCTGCGTCAAACCGAGTCAAACCCCAAAAGATAATTATGACAGTCGTGCTCCTTCACATCACAGTGCGAATTGTCTCCTCCTGTAATGTAGACGAGGAATGGAAAATATCAGCCATGCTAATCATGCGTGCAGTGCTCGGCAAGGTCTTTTCGTGTGACGATTCCACACAAAGTACCCGTACTGTCAACCACCGGCAAGTGGCGTAGTCCCATGGTGCGAAAGAGATCAAAACTACGGCGAACAGTGGCAGTGTTAGAGATGGAGAATGCTGCTGGACTAATCCATGATTTCAATTCAATCATTTGGTCGCAATGCATCCCATCATTCGATCCCTGGAGGACTCTTCCTTGAAAAGACTCTAGACCCACTTGAGCCTGCAAAGCAGACTGCAAAGCAGAACGGCTGAGCATCCCTTGAAATCGGAAGGAGCTCGAGGAATCGACCACTGGAAAGGCGCCGTGGGAGTTTCTTCCCAGCAAATCTTTGAGCCGAGCAACACTTTCCACGGGAAATACTGTTCGGACATCTTGGGTCATTACACTGGACACGAGCTGCTTATGACATTCAACTTCTGTGGGCGCCTCCAAAAAAGGTAGTTTCTTCAAGTGAATGTGAATGTCGTATATTCCACGATTGAAGCAATCACCAACAGCTTTCGAGGTCAAGACAGCGAAAATGATTGGAATACTGAATTGTGTATTTCCAGTTGCTTCGACCAGAATCACAGCCAAAGAAATGGTGATGCGAGCCATGCCACCAAGGCTTGCTGCTGCCCCAACCAAAGCATAGACTCCAGGGGAAGACACATGAAGGCCTGGGCCGCCTTGGCCCCTCGAACAAACCGCTTGGAGGCCTTCGCCCAAAAGACGGCCAAGAGCAGCTCCCGTCAACAAAGATGGTACGAACAATCCGCTTGGAACTCCCAATCCATAAGTCCAGCATGCCATGAAAAAATACAATGCTGCAAATAAAGCCAAATACAGCGGATGAAACGCCGCAGGATCATGGAATAACACTTTGATGGCATCCTCGCTGGGAGTCATAAATAAACCCAATGCAGATTCAATGCTGTTTTGCCGTGATTCGCTACTGGCATCGCAAATCAACTTCAAGTCCCCGTGTTGGTCCGATATCACATCAGGAACTACGCATTGGCGCATCACCGCAGGCAAAAAAACAAACGCAGTTGAAATCACTGCTGTCACTGTCATGACTTCAAAGAAGCGTCTCGTTCCGCCTGCACCAACGCACCACTGTCGCCAAATTGTCAATGGAACGTTGAGGGCATTGAAGGTCGCCCCAACCAAACCTCCAAGTATTCCAACACCAAAGAAAAATGGCAGTTCCCATATTCGGTAGCTTGTTGCGTCACTTTGGAAGTAGCTGCCGAAGGTCAGCACTCCCAATGCCCCCCAACGTGCCAAACCCCAACGAGTCAAAGCCTCCAAGGAAGAAATTCAAGGTCAGTGCCGACACCGAAGAGCAAAAGAGTGCTTGCAGCAGAACTTGCGGGCTCCAAAATGATGCACCCTCTTCTAAGGCAAATAGAACGCCTCCGACTGGAGCACCAAAGGCAGAAGAGACACCTGGTTTGAGAAGGGAACGGTTTGTTGTTATATACCAAATAGGTTGCTCGTAACTCGTAACTGTATAAAGTTCTTACGGTGAATACGGGCCAAAGACAAAAGCGAACCCTGCTGACGAACCTCACCTTACCATCACTCTAAGAACCCCTTCGTTGTTTGGTGAAGCATAGAAGAACGGGAATTTGCAGAGGAATGTATGGAAAAAGTTGAGATTACACTCTTTAGCTTGGCTGAAAGTGCACAGGCTTTGGTGGGACAGTTTTTTACGTGCGTATACATATATATGTATATATGTATATTATACTATATCCCGGTTTTTATTTAGGTGGTGGGGTCGTGCGAAGAGATTGTTAGTACAGAATGAGCTGAGCCTTACACGAAAAGGGGTTGCACAGGAAATGCAGCTTCACAAAATTGTTTCCTCAAATGGGATCAGGCCCCAACATGGAACCATAAGAAAGAGACATATTCTGCTACAAAATGGGTGCCCGATGGTGCCCGCCAACCAACAATCCTTTAAAGCAATCACGCATTCTGCTACAAAATGTGTCGCGGCAGTCTTCTGTAGTCTCTTCTTTTTCCAATCAAGCGCTCACTTAATCCAGGATTATTCTCCCAAATCCTGAAGAAGTCAGCTTGCAAGACATGCGAGGATTGACAAATGAGTTCCCAGGTGCTGCAAGCAATATATGTATATACATTAACATGTTACAACTGCAAACCAGTTCAGAAAAACACGGAAAGCGGAGCAGCAGCCCCACATCCCCAACAGAGCCCACAACATGTCTTGTGAACAATGGGTGAAAATTGCCAATATGATAAAAAAAGGAGATGCCCCAGGATAGCCGCAGACTGGCAGCAAAAGACCACCATGGCCTAAAAAAGTAACCTACTTATACTTGTCGGACCTAAGTCTGTCATGGTTTTACCACAAAAAAGTAAAATAACAGCAGCAAACCCTGCAACATAAATCCCACGGCCCCAATCACCTCCAACATACCCCCACAAGAAGCCTCAAGAGAGTCCCAACATTTGGCGAAACGTGCCAACATGGAGAAGGACACTAAGAACAAATTTGACCGCCCATTGGAGCAAGCTTTCGTAAGCAACAAAAACGACAACCAAAGCTGTCAAAACCACCTTTCTTACACTTGTCGGATCTTTTTTTTCTATACGGTGTTTTGCGCACACTATGTAAAACACCACCTACCCAAGTCAAACGGCAGAGAAAACAAATAACCTTACACTTGTCGGACCTAAGTCTGTCATGGTTTTTTACCCAAAAAGACTACCTGCCCAAGTCAAACGGCAAAGAAAAAGCAGCCAAGTGGACCAACATCGCCGCAAAAAAGTAAATAACAGCAGCAAAGCCTTCAACATAGATCCCACGGCCCCAATCACTTCCAACATACTTCCATGAGAAGCCTCAAGAGAGCCCCGTAGGTGAAACGTGCCAATATGGACAAAGATGTACCCTAAGAATGCGCCAAGATCGCCGAAGATTTGCACAAACATGCTCTAAATTTGACCACCCACTGGAGCAAGTTTTCATAAGCAAAGAAAAGCTCTCAAAAACCCCTTCCTCACACTTGTCCAAATGTTCGCGGTTCTGGTTATGCCGCCTGGAGAACACTGCATTATTGACATCGTGGGTGTGTTCGTCCGGAGCAAGCTTTGATACGCAAACAAGAGACAAAAAGAAGCTCTCAAAAACACATTCCTTACACTTGTCGGACCTCATTTGTTCATGGTTTTTACCAGTGCTTTATGCACATTTGCCCTTCAAAGCCTTTGAATGCCGGAGAACAAGAAAAACCACAAAAATTGCTTCCCGTGCAGGTAAAATGCAACGTCTTGAAGTCAAATAAGCTCAACACACGGTCTGCAAACCAGTCCGGCAAGCAACGGAAAGCGAGAAGCGAGCGGGCGCGGTCGCGACGCGCAGGTTTTGTTTGTTCGATGCCGGACAGCTGTCTTTGCCAAGTTACGATGCGCGCAGTGACTCATCGAGCGACACATGTGGGTAGAGCATAAAGAAAGAGAGAGAAATATGTAAGCCAGGAGACCTGGTCAATGGAAAAACAAGATGGAGCCCACGAACCCGAATGCAAACACGTTCGAAAAGCTACATACGTCCAAATGACACTCTTGTAGGACACTCTTGTGGGACACTCTTGTAGGAAACTCTTGTGGGACACTCTT